TGCATTCAATTGAGAACTCGTAGAACTCATATGCATAATCACTCAACTGGATTGGCACAGAAATAAAATTGTGTCAACACGATAGGTTACAATCCTCAAGTCGTGTGCTAGTGTTTAATAGGTTTACTTCTTGATTTGTTCTAAAGATCTTTAGACTCCCACTGACCTCTTGACATATAAGATTCTCTTGTCAAGAAACATTTCTTGACAAACAAATACTCAAGAGTTAGTGTGTGTCTTTATCAAGACAAACCTACACATAATTTGGTACTAGCTGGTCTTTGTCTTATTCAAGACATCACAACTTACCAAAATGTGCAAATGTAAGAACATTCCTACTTAAGATTATGTCACTCAAGTCACAATCTTGGAGTTTAACTCTAAGACTTGATTTTGGAACGAAGTACGATTCATCTTATTTACTTAACCCATTTTGACAATTCCCGACTCCTCTTCTTAGCCATACTAGTGCACTAAGATGTCCTTAGAGGATGAATTGTAATATGTTCTTAAGACGATCATAAAACATGATACAAAAGTACTCTCCCTTCTTCTTAGATTGGAGAAACTTTTATCTTTGATTCTTCTTATTCGTTCTGCCATTCATTGAAACTTTTCAATGCTTCAGAATTACACTTAATCTTGTAAGCATAATCATATTTACTAGACTTTTAGTAAATCATAACGAATAATCTCATTTGTTATTTATGGTGGACTTAACCAGTGCACATCATTGTGAACTCGATCTCCTAGTCCTTCACTTGACTCTTTGTCAAGGAATTAGCCTTTAAAAATTCTAAGTACCAAGATTTCCATATATCACATGATTCAAATCATATGATTCCAAGCTTCTGTCCAATTGAAACTTGGGGGATGGGAATCTTTCCTTACTTATAAAATCACGACACTACCATAAATAACATAACTAAGAATCACATCCACTTAATATTGCTTATAATAGAAACACACAGACATCAATTTTCACAATTGCCATTGCAAGGAAATATAAATAAGACAAAATCAAAATTTATTTTATTGCGGAAAAATATATCCTTACAATGCAAATGAAAACTATGCTATTACATATTCCTAAGCAATCTATCATAACTCTAAGCAGCAGCTCAAAAATTTGATCATCGAATCCATGCGATCGTAATCCATTTCTTCATGATCAGACTCAGCTCGCTCCTTCCTCTAAGCTTCCTTTCCTTTCTTCGATTCTTCATAACATCAAAAATGTAATCTTATCACATCATGTTTTAAGAATCTCCAAATAGGAACTTAACAAAGTTAGATAGTGGATTTTACTTAAAGCATAGTCATACATCTTGACTCTCCCATCTCTTAGATCTCTTAGGTAGAGAGGGCAACTTCATAACCAATGCCCCTTCTTTTGTAGTAGAAACACATGGATTCTTATGGAATGGTACATGAGACTATCTCAGACTCAGCCTTTCTCTTGCATAGAGAAAACTTTCTGGACTTCCAATGTTGCCATTGCCCATAGAAGGTTGGGATATTGATTTACCAGATAAATTTGTTGACCAGTGCGCCAAATCATTTCTGATTCAGCAGCAATAAGCAAATAAGTCAAATCAATAAGGGTCATGTCGTGGTCCATCATATAGTACTCTCTAACGAACTTACCATATGATTCGGGAAGTGACTGAAGAACCAAGTCAACAGCCAACTTCCTTTAAACATCGACACCCAACAATCCCAATCTATCAATATGTAACCTTTTATCCAAGACATGAGCACATATAGACTTTCCATTTTCGTGTCTTTTGCCAATAGGGCTTGAGTGACCTTGAACTTTTCAAGTCTTCGAACACGTGGGTCGGGGAGAATTATTGGAGGAGGTGGAGGAAATGAAGTATGATTTCCATTTCCACAATACAATCGTGAAACATCATCTTCACGTGGAAAACTTTTTCCAACGGATTTAGGAAGACCGTAGTTGTCAGACTTTGACATCTATGAAACGGGAGAAAATTCAAGTTTAGTTGATTGAGTCCTTAATAAAACACTCAAATGAGATATTAAGGCTAGGACCCAACACAATATCCTACAAATTGGAAGAGGGATGCCGAAATCCAAATTGCAGAACATTTGAAGGTAGGTAAATGACGATTTACCAATTTCCACCATGAAAAACGAAAATTGAAGGTTTAAGTTTTAAATGAATTGAAACTCCTAGATCTTTTGAGATTCATTGAACTTTTCAATGTCATGTTTAATCTCGATTATGCCCTTCATTTGTGACTGGGATGCCGAGGATCACAAATAAGGTGTGAATAACCATGCGAATATACGTGGTGCCCTCAATGTTACAGTCACCTAATCGACGTGCCAGTTAACCACACACGCTCCATCGATCTATGACAAACATCGAGTCACCCTCCGCTACCAATGCCAAACCCAACTTAGTGTGCCGGTTAACCACACACGCTCCACTAATTGTCTCGACAAGGGTACAAAGTGTAATTCCATGGAATTGCATCGATTTCACTTTTTCCTAAAGTAACTAGGATTTGGAATTTTGTAAAAACATTTAGTTACTTTATTCATTATACTTTTAATGAGGAGAGGGTTTGCCCTATCCTACCCGTTCGGCTAACGACCCTCCACCAATCAAGGAAACGGTGGGTGAGAGTGGACACCCATTAAACGGTCATTTTATAGGCCATAACCTTATACCCCCTTTATAGATCGGCTTCGTGAATGAGACCTACTAATGGTAAGACTAGCAGTTTAAGTTATACATATATATAATATTAGACTTTTAATGTTATATATAGTATAAGGGTGTATTTTATACTTTTAAAATACTATGTGGGTTAATTTAATAAATTATACCTTTTAATTTAATTAAACATAAACCATGTCATTGTGGATTTATTAACTCTCTTTTAATTATACTTTTAATTAACTTAATAAAACCATGAGGATGTAATTTGAACTTTTTCAAAACTAGGGTTTTAGAATTTAAAATTTCAAAAATCAAATTTTTAATCAAAAAAATTTAAATTCCAAAACTTGAGGGCAAGTTTTTAAAACATTTCAAAACATTTGGGTTTAGAATTTAAATATTTCAAAATTAAAGTTTTAATCAAAAATTTAAATTCCAAAACTTGAGGGCAAGTTTTGGAAACTTTTCAAAACATTATTAAGAACATTCTAGATCAAATTACAAATAATAACAATTAAACAATTAATTGGTGATTATCTAAATATGATCTAATTCAATTTCTTGCAAGATAATCTATCAAATAATTCAAATAAATCAAGTTTATCACATAAGGCAATGATTATCTAGTTAATTTGACAATTATCTTCTATTCTAGCAAGGATAATCAATACCAAACATAAAAAATCGAATTTTAAGAGTTAAAAACGTTTTTGGTAACTTATCCAAGCCAAATCAGAAAAAAAATCCCGAAGATACCTCTGTCTGACCCTTGGACTCGCCAAGTCAGGGACTGGACTCGCCGAGTCAGGCAGACTCGTCGAGTTCATCCACTGACTCGCCGAGTCAGTCATGCAGATAACAAATAAACTCGATTGTCAGGCAAAGAATGATCAAATAAGCATCAAGAACATCAAACAAACAGCCCTAGGCTCTGATACCACTGATGGGTTATGAGCACTACAACATTCATATGGTGTACATGCAAACCCTAAAGCTTTGGATCTAGTTTGTCTAATGAACATGCAATAATCATCTAAAGTCATAAACCCTAGATCTAGCATGTGATAATCAAATAACATATGAATTAGGGTTTAGATCTTACATTGATTGTTATGTAGCAATAACAATCTCAATTCCTTCTTGTAATTGGATTCTGAAAGCTTAGTGTCACAAGTGTCACACCTCTAATGGAGTCACAAACACCATAAGCAATAAGGATGAAGAAGGAGGAGAGAGAGGACACCAAAACCGTCTAGAAACCCTAAGGAATCAGTTAGCCATGTTTTTGGTGCCCTAGGGGTCCTTAAATAGTGAGGCTATTAGGGTTTTGAATTAGTAAACCCTAATCTGATTGCTTAGGCCCTAATTGAGTCACAAACACCTCTAATGGAGTCACAAACACCATTAGTAAACCCACCCTACCACCGCTACCGTTTTTTAAAAATGAAAACTGATAGAAAAACACATCTAAACACGTTTTCTAAATTTCTAAAACTGAAAATAAATAATGATTAAATTTTAACTAAACGCGTTTCCTAAATTTTCAAATTAAAAATGAAAACGGAAAACGAAAACTGAAAAGGGAAAACGAAAAACGGAAAATAAAAACTGTTTTTTCGTAACTAAGCACAACCTTAACTTTTATTTGCTATATAAGTGTTTGGTAAAAAATAGCTGGAAGCTTTTAAAATATGTAAATCTAAATAAAAAGACAATGTTTATATATATATATATATATATATATATATATATATATAGATATATATATATATATAATATATATATATATATATATATATATATAGACATTTTTGGAAATTTATTTAAAAGGTCAGTAACGTTTTGTTAAACACTATATGAAGTAATTTTCAGATTTGGAACGTTTTGTTTAACCTGAAAGCTAAACGTTTGTACTGTCAAATGAAGTTTTTTGTTTAAACTAAAGCATTTTGTCAAAAGATAGAAGCTTCCAAACACTCCGTACCAAACATACCCTTAACCTATACTCAAATTATATATTTTATAGAATTTCCCGACTCTAGAAAACAGAATTATAGAAACACGGATCTAACTGAATTGTGATTCGATTGGATTTGAATGTAGTTTAAACTATTTGGATTCATGTTTTTAAAAACCTAAATCAATTTGGATTAACTTGATCAGATTGAACCGATCTTTGGAAACGAACATCCCTAAATATCATTTCCAAGACTTGCTAAAAAAACCCAACTGAGGCAGTTCATCAAACACCCAGAAATATCGTGCAAACTAGTGGTAACTATGAGTCATTAAGAACAACAGGCAGAAGTCATTTTGAATATCTTGTTAGTCTCCACTTTTTGATATTACTACATCTTTGATATTAAGATTTGCCTGTACAGAGTCCACTTGTATTGTTGTCTTTCCTGAAACAAGGAATCTCAAATTTGAATCCATACAACTTACTACAAACCTCATATACCTTTTCAATCAAACATTTGTAAGATAATATAAAAGAGTGATGAAATTACAATCACACCCTTTCAGTACATGGGTTTTCCATATGTTTGGAAATATCTGAATGCAGCCCATTTAAATGGTTTCCGGCTTCGGAATCAGAAAGTGCTCCAGGAATTCCTCTTTCGTATTCATTTGACTTTCATATGAATCTTCTTTCCCTTGAAAAAACTGACTGGTAACTTTAACAATTTCTTTTTCAGGATTCCCATGGCCAACCTTGGAATCGGAATGTGAATCAGAGTCGTTTCCTGGGTGTTTATTAGAAGTAGGAGTAGCGGGGAGTAGTTGGTGCAATTGACATGACGGAATGGGAGCATGGACATGTCCTGGAAGTGGAAGTGGATTAGTTCCATGGCCATTTGGCACATCAATTTCGTCGACTTTGGAATCGGAGTGTGAATGAGATTCCTTTCCTGGCTGTTGAAGTTTGGGTTCATGACCATCACCATGGCCATTCGGGGCATCATTAGATTCCTTTCCGGGAAGTTGGAGTTTGGGTTCACTAAAAGAAGCAGCAGGGACTTGTTCATGAACTCGGGGATTGCCATTCTGCACATCAGATTCCTTTCCTGGAAGCTGAAGTTGGGGGTCTTTACCAGGAGGATAGATGATGCTGGCATGTAAAGAACAACCATCATCCAAAGGAACACCAGATTCTTGACAACCATTTATCACCACGTCATCTACAATAACAAAATAATAATAATTCAGGTTGGAAGGAAAGGAATGAAAAAAAAATGGAACTGACAGAGTAACAGAATCAGTGATTAGTGATTACACGAATTGTTGGTGAAAGAAAAAGATTCCTTGTTTGAAACTGAAAGAATGGCATCATCATCATCATCATCACCATCACCATGATGGAGTTGGGTAGGAAGTGGATTGCCATTCTGCACAGCAACTTCATCGGAATCCTTTCCTGGGAGTTGGAGTGTGGGTTCAGCAGCAGAGTCTTTGGTGATTTTGGCCGGCAGAATCTGAGTATATGTAAATGTATATTCTTCTACATTGGAGTCAAAATGTGCATCATCAGTTTTGACCAATTCTGAAACTGGCACAAGGATATCATCATCATCTTTAATAGGAGAACCGGAATTCGTGATGGTGGTGTTGTCACTAAACTCCTCCACGCCCACGGTAGAAGAAATCAACTCCAAGCCACTACCCTCATCTACTTCAATCAACAAAAACATAATCAACTGGATGGAAAAGAATGACAAACAAATGGAGTTCACCGAGCAACACAAGTAATGGAATCAGGCATTACATTCCGTGATCATATACATTTTTATAGGATTAAAGAAACAGCAACGTAATTTCATCGCGTTGTTTTCATTTCTTCTTATTTACAACATTGTATTTTTTTTTTAAATCCCCCCACTTATAGCAATTTGGCTGTAATTGAGGAGTTTTCAAAGTATAATGTCCTAATAAGAAAGAAAATAGATGTATAATGCAATAATTGAGTAGCTTTTCGAAGTACAAAGCTGTATACAAAATTAAATAAACCAACACTGCTATTTTTTTCATAGTTTTCATATGTAAATACTATTCATAGTTTTTAACTCTACTCGACACATTATTCAATTATAACTAGGAGAAGCCCATGCTCCGCATGGGGTGAATAGGGTTTTGACGTTAATTGAGTTTTGAATTGGCAAAATGGATAAAACAGCAAGAAATGTGACCAAAGTTAAAAGAGTTGGAAAATTGGTGGCCGAAGTCTAAAAGAAAAAACCAAAAGGGGCAGTTTTGGAAAAAGCTACAAAAGTGTGGCAAAACCATCAAAAACTAATAACTTTAAAGCAAAAGTATAAACAATATAAAAATTTGTGGCCAAAGTAAGAAAGTTAAAACTTTCCTGTTCAAAATATGACTATTGAAAGTTATGTGGTCAAAATGTAAAAGGAAAAAGTTATGTGGCCAAATTCATAAACCTTAAAGATTCCTGTTCCCAGACCCCCACGGGATTTAATTTATATATATATATATATATATATATATATATATATATATATATATATATATATATATATATATATAATTGATGAAATTTGCATTTTCAAATATAAAAAACTAAACATAATAACTGCTCATTAATACTCCAAATAAGATAATAATATAAAAATCTAGTTATGTTTTTATAAATAAAAATGTAGTTTAACTATCATTGTGAGACTTTTTTTTTTTTTAAGATTTGTGCCACAAAAAATTACATACATAAAACGAGTTATATTGTAATTTTCATTCCATTCAATGATGGAATGAAAAAATTACACACCGTCTAAGGAATGAAATTAACAATATGGAAGGAATCATATTCCTTCCAAAATAACCCATTCCATTCCTTCAAACATAGCAAACAGTATCTTTTCATTCCAATGAAATAAACAATTCCATTTCTTCCCTGATTCCATCATGAATATAATGTAGAATTTTTAGTGAAAATTGAAATAATGAAGCCTTGTTTTGAACCTTCTTACGGAGTTAATATTACCTTTGGGGTCAGTTTCACTGTCATTCTGCGTAGCAATTTCATTGGCTTTGGACTCGAAATGTGAATGTGAAAGGATGGAAACAGATTCCATTCCTGGCAGCTGGAGTTCGGGTTCACTGGAAGGAGCAGCAGTGATTTTGTCCGGAATCTCAGAAGAAACAATATTATCATGTGAACCGGAATCAGTAGTTTTGGTGTCAGTATCATCAAAAAGAACACCACATTCTTGAGAATCGGAATCTGTAATGGCAGTTTTGTCATCAATCTCCTGTTTTATGGAGAAGGAAGTAGCACTACAGTTATCTACTTCCATGGATGGAGTGGAAATGACAGAGTAATGCACCCCACTCAAATCGTTTGTGTTTGTGTTTGTGTTTGTGGCTTCGAAACCAGAAATTGCTCCAAGAGTTCCTCTTTCCTTTTCCTTTTCCTTTCTATTCATTTCACTTCCACATGAACCTTCTTTGGGATTAGTTCGATTGCCATTCTGCACATCAATTTCACGGACTTTGGAATCGGAATGTGAATGGATGGAATCCAATTCCTTTCCTGGCTGTTGAGGTTCAGGTTCATCTTTAACAGGAGAATTGACCTTGCCTGTATCTAAGGAACAACCATCATTCAAAGAAACAACAGATTCTTGAGAACCGGAATCAATGGTGGCGGTTTCGTCACTAAGTCTAAACTCTGCCACATTAGAAGGACTCAATTCTGATTTTGTGGGCACAGCACTATGACTATGGTCATCTAATTCAATAGTATTGTTGCCTGCATTAACAAAAAAAAATATATAATCAACTCTAACAAACTGTTTAGTTGGATGGTATAGAAAGGCGAAGGTGCAGAATGGAATGAGACATTAAATTTCATGATCATGTTTGGTTAACCTGTAGAACGAAATGAATTTTCATATATATTTTCCTATTATATGTAAACAAAATGAATAGTTTTAACTTTTTATTATTTAATTATTATAATTAATGAACTTCTTATATTCAAAAATAAAATAATTATACACAATAAAATGTTATGAACTGGGTTATAAGAACAGATTCAATAACATAAAAAAAGCAACCAACAGCTTCAAATATCGGTTGACAACCTCAAATATACCCAAAAGATTACAAGAACAAATGATAGGTTAGCTGATTCGAGATAGCTACTCTCCCAAGGAATAAATTCCAGAATTCACAAAAAGATTCTCTTTAATTATTGAATTTCCCATATTGCCCTTATCTAGCATATGTGACATAAGTTGATGCATAACATAAAAGCTCACAAAATCCCAATAAGATTAAAATGAAAAATGAATTGAATGACAAAGGAATGGAATTGACATAGTAATGGCATTACATTCCACGACATGTTTATTCATTATTTGTATACGTAACCACAAGGTATAAATTTAACTCTATCCTATACACTATTTAATTATAAACAATACATTTTTTAATTTACAAATATACAAATTTAACATAAAAAAAGTTCATTAAAACCCAGACAAGAGTAAAAAGAAAATGTGTTTGCTAGTTATTTTTAGGAAATACAATTGTAGTTTAACTAACATTGCAAATTTTTTAAAAAAGATTTTTCATTTAAAATTACAAATATAAAAACAGGTCGTATTAAAAATTTTCATTCCATTCCATGACGGAATAAAAAATAAATAAATAAACCACCCTAGGTTAAGGAAGGAATCAAGAATGGTCCATTCCATTCCATCAAATATTTTCATTCCAATGGAGTTAAACCATTCCATCAAACACTATGTACATGAATAGAATTTCAAATCAAACAGGAAAAACTGAAAAATCTTGTTAAAGAACCGTCTTACCTTGGTTTTGTACATCCATGGAAGAAAAAGATTCCTTGTTTGAGGGTTGTATGGGATGATGGACATGGGGATTATTAGTTTCAATTGAGGCTTTGGAGTTGGAATCAGATTCCTTTACCAGGAGTTGGTGTTGAGGTTCATCTTTAACTCGGGAACTGATGGGATGAATCTCCTTGCTTGCAGTTGCATCCAAATCCAAGGGAACACCAACTTCTTGAGTACCAGAATGCAGCCTACTCAAATCAGAAATTACTCTTTCCTTTTCCTTTCTATTCCTTTCACTTCCACATGAACCCTCCTTAGGATTAGTGCCATTGCCATTCTGATTCTGCACAGCAATTCCGTCGATTTTGGAATCAGATTCGTTTCCTGAGTGTTGTAGTTTATGTGACTGTGATTCGCATGGAATATCATCATGCGAAGGATCAGGAAGTGGATTCGTTCCATTGCCATTCTGATTCTGCACATCATATTCGTTGACTTTGGAACTGGAATCAGATTCCTTTCCTTGCAGTTGGAGTTCGGGTTCACAAGGACTCTCATCTTTGACAGGAGGATCCATGGGAAGAGTCTCCTTGCTCGCATCATCCGTAGGAACACCAGAATCTCTAATACCATTTTTATTTTTGTCAATTAACTCTGCAACATTAGCAGAAATCAACTCTGGTTTCTTGGACAAGGCACTAAAGCCATCTACTTCAAGCCCAAGGCTCTTCTTACCTACAGTAACATAAAAAATAATTAAAGTGTGTGATTAGGTTAAGATGGAATGGAATTTAATACAATAACTAATAAGCAAGGTAATGGCACTACAGAATACAGACTGGTTGGCCTATAGGAACAGAAATACCAACAACACATACTTTGTTGATTTGTTTATTATACCATCGTACTTCCGTTTCTTCCTACTAAAGCCTAGCCTAGTATTTTCAATTATATTATAGCAATGTCATCCAGATGCAAAGCAACACAACTATCACTACTATAATTAGATGGTTTTTTCAAAACATAATGCCCTTATAAAAAAGATTGAAAGTATAATGCTATGATTGGGTAGATTTTCCAAAGTACAATGTCTTAATGAGAAAACAAATGAAAGTACAATGTCATAGCAGAAATAATTGAAAATGGGGTGCTATATAGTATATCCACAAATAAATGAATGTACATTGTTATTTCTTGCATTTACACTTTTCATATTACGATATATATAGTATTAGCTCTACTCTATACATGATATAATTATAATCAACGTATTTTTGGTTTACGAAAAAGAGAAATTAAACATAACAAAAGTCCATTAGAACACAAATAAGATCCTAATAACAAATACATTTCTACATATATATATATATATATATATATGTATATGTATATGTATATATGTATATATGCATATATGTATATATATATATGTATGTATATATGTATATATGTATATATATATATGTATACATATATATATATATATATACCAAGATCTACAGGACCATATCATGATATGAGTAATGGGACATTAAAAATTAAAAATTTTGAAATAAAAGAGCTTGGTGAGTTAGGCGAGTCAATGAGTAAAAATGCCCTAAAACAGCACTGTGGCCACAATAGCGGGCTAAAACACGACTTTGCCATATATATATATATATATATATATATATATATATATATATATATATATATATATATATATAATATATATATATATATATATATAGAAAACAGAAATGCAGTTCAATTTTAATCATGGAATATTATAAAAAAGATGTATAAAAAGAAAAGGGTTATATTGTAATTTTTCATTCCATTCCATGATAGAAATTTAAAAAAAAAAAAAAAAAGACATTGTTGGCTAAGGAATGAGAATTCAACAATATGGAAGGGATCACATTCCTTCAAGAATGGTCACGGTTATTTTATTTTTTATTTTTTTCATTTCAATGGAATAAGCCACCCATAATCTTCTATAATTCCATGGCACAAAACACTATCCAAATGAACAGAATATGTATAATGAAAACAGGAAAAACCTTGAGGGATGGCTTGCTTGAGTAGCGGCTTTTGTAACATATCAGTCCTAGGAAACACCAACAAATTCATAGACTTCAGTTCTTGTTTGTGTGATTCCTCCAATGCCCGGAAACCAAAAACATCAGTCCATGTATTCATGTGTTCAGCAACCGCAGGAATAATCAATTTATCTACTTGGAGAGCAGACAGAGCCTGAAAAGGTTTAAAAAAAAAAAAAAAAAAAACTTAAGAAGTAGCTCAAAGGGGATGGTAATATACCTGGGTGAAATAGCAACGTACTTGTGTATTTGTTTATTATAACATTCTACTTGCATTTCTTCCTATTTGGAAAAATCTACCCAAAAATAATAGCAATGACATCCACATACAAAACAACAAAAAAAAAAAATCACTGCTATAATTGGATAGATTTCTGAATGTATAATGGTCTCATAAAATCAAAAATGGTGTGACTAGGTTGATTTTTCAAAGTACAGTGTCTTAATAAGAAAAAAAAAATTGGAGGTATGATACTGTACAAAGAAATGAAAGTCCGTTGCTATTTCTTGCATTTATTTAGCAGTAATATAATCTTCTGACCGATTCAATAGCTGATAATAGGCGACGACACATCCCTTGGCGTCTATATATATGACGTGTCCCAATAAATGGCATCTCTGCTACTTGGGTTCCATGGAACCTAAGCATATGATAAAGTAAACAACTCAAAAAAAAAAAAAAAAAAAAAAAAAAACAAAACAAAACAAAATCTGCAATCAACAGTTTCAGGCTAGCCTACCTACCTGATAGATGCAGCACAAACGACTTCCTCCTCCCTCTCCAGAATAGCTGTATAGAAGCCACTATAGTTCAACCGGCTAAGGTTTGATCTACACGGTAATTACAAAATATATCACTTCACATTCGGTAATTGAATAACCAAGATAATAGAATAAGTCGTTACATTCCATGATCATGTTTCAATGCAATCAAAATTTTATATTCTATGTTTTTATTGTAAACACAATTTATAGCTTTAACTCTGTTTTATACATTACTTAATTACAATTGATGAGCTTTTATTTACCAAAAAATAATAAAAGCTCATTAAAACACAAATAAGATTTTAATAAGAAAAAATTCTAGCTACTTTTAAGAAACAAAAGATGTAATTTAGTTAAAATCATGGAATTTAAAAAAAATAATAATTACATAAATAAAAATGGGTTAGAGAGCAAATATTTTTAGCCATTTCATGAGGGAATGGGGAATAAAAACACATGTGCCTATAACAAAATGAAAAGAATCACATTGCTTCAAAATGGTCCATTCCATTCAATCAGACAACAAACAGCTTTTTCTAAATTCTATTCCATTCCTTCTCTGATTCAATCATACCGAACAAACACTGCCTTGGGAGATTTTATAATGCACAATTTGACCAATTTTGTTAACTTTCTTTTAGACAAATATGGTAAAACTTACCCACAATTGAAGACTACATTACGAATTAAATTGATCCCGCTTCTCTTGTCAGTAAAAGGCAAGAAACACTCATCCATTAATGACATGGCAACAGCCAGCATGGAATTGCATTCCATCCTTTCTCCATCTGTCAATGAATCAGAATCAGAATCAGATCGATGAATAAGGGACCATGAGAACCCTGAATCCAGTTCATGCTTCACTCCAATAAGCTTCTGCAACGGAATGTATACCTGCAAAATTCAGGTGGATCATGATTCATGACAACTAGTACTACAACAAGAAAACAGATAATACAAACGTATTGTCACTTCTTCTATAAACATAGCATTCTACTTTTGAACTTTTTTTCTAATTAGGACAACTATACTATACCCAACTTGCATTCAAAATTGCTTTGTATTCAATCATCTCATGTGGTAGATTTTTCAATAATGCAATGCTATAATAGAAAGAGATAAAAGTACAATACTACAATAAACAAATTGATACAAGTACTGTATGTTGCTATTTCTTGCATTTAGCCCATAAACAAAATATGCAAAAATTAAATTAAATATCAAATAGCTTTAGCAACAAAATCTGAAGAAGATTTTTCTTATCTCCTATATAAGAGTATTTTTTTAAAAAAAAATAAATAAACACCCTCCAACTAAACTACGTTTGGTATATCATAGAGACATTGAATACCTCATGGCACTTGTGTCCACAGAAAGACAAATCCAGAGAGCTTGGTTCATCTGACTTGACATCTATTCCTGGCCTGCATGATTCATGATCTGCAACATCAGAAAGTTGTCTTTCATACAACAGTTGTAACTAATACAAGAAAAAAAAGACTATTCTTCTAAGAGAGGAAGAGGATCATTACATTTCTTGTAACAAAGGCAGCACGTATGAAGTGAAGCATCAGTTATACCACCATCTTTTGTGCAATTCCCAGCAGCCATTTCACAGTATTTGCAGGAACAATTTGGACAGAGCCAATCACCTTCAGGAAGCATCTAAAATGAGAGGAAAGATGAGACATTGATATCTCTAAGACTAAGGGTACAACTACAAAAGAGATTAAAACATGTAAAAATTTAGGAGTTTTACCTGTATGTCTAAACAGCTTTGGTGAAAAGTTGATGGACAACCATCACAACAGATCAAATCCCCACCATCCCCACATACACTACATGTATCATCATTAGGATCATCACCATCAACATCTACAGTATAAAAACCCTTTTGCTCTAACTCCCCTAGTTTATTCCATGCATCAATCTGACATTGCATCAGGGATTTTCCAGACTCCAAAAACATGTTTGGAAACGGGTTGCAAAGTTTGCTTCCTGAATGTTGCTGGAACTTGACAACAGTGACAACCTTGCTACAACAACCACAATGGATCCCATCTTTTGTAATCCTTCCTTTTTGCAGTATCCGTGTCCTTCTAGCATTCATATATTCCACATGTTCACTCATATCCACCACTCCAGAGTCGATTAACCACGCGAGAATGGTCCTTTTTCCTGAATAGGGACTAATCCCGTCATTTTCTAAAACCTTGTTAGTATCGCGAACCAACAAAGTACATCTGTTTTTTCTTCTTCCATGGGAATTCATTTCATCCTCATAATCACTATCTGTGAGTGTGTCCTCCATAGCCCTTTTGGCATTCCTACTGTTGCCTTCATCTTTTCTCTTTGTTTTCATCAATTCTCTTTCTGTCTTCTTTTGGATTTGTCTGGCTAATTGACCAAGTATTTCAACAGGTAAAGGAGTAAAGTTGTCACTATCTTCAGCATTGTCTTCCTCTTCCTTTTGAAGTGCTTCATAAGCCTTGATTATAGACCAATAAGCGGTTCCAGCAGGATTAGTATATATAGAATCAAGATAGTTTTTGTTCTTTCTTGGTCTATAATCAATGGTCCAACCAGCACCAAGAAGCATATTCTTAATCTTTTCACGCAGTATTTGCTTTTCAGTGCCACTACCATGCTTAACCATGTTTTCCTTCTTCTTCACTTTCTTAACATTCTCCAGTTTTTTAAAAGTTTCCACTCTGCTATTTGATTTTGACGGCATTACTGTATCACTCTCAGTTACTTCTTTGCTGCTTTTTCGCACCACTGGTGTTGGAGATTTCATCCCACCTTTCTCCTTGCTCTTTTTGGTATCCTCACTCCTGGAACTATGTCCATCTCCAGCATCTCTATGATCACCATTTTTATCCAGCTTTTTCTTGTGCTGAACTCTAGCCTTGGCTTCTTTTTTATCAGAACTTCTACTCATCTGCTTATTATGATTTACCATTACATTCAAGACACCATTTTCCCCTTGTAGTCTAATAGGTTGGTCTGAAGATGAACGATACTTCTTACTCAACACTGAAAGGGGTAAGTCAAAATCATCATCATCATCATCATCCATCTCTAAGGGACTTACAGTTCTAGCTTCATAAGTAGGTCTGCTACCACCATTTCCAGATTCCATTTGATCGCCACTTTGCCTAGATGAGTTCCATCTATGCTTACCACCATTAGCATCCTTCCTGGTCCTCACATCCTCAAACCCATCATACTCGTCAAACTCAAATACATCTAATCCACTACTTGCCCTTTTCTCGGTCTCAAATTCTTTGTAAACAGCTGAACGTTTACGGAGTTTATGAATAGTTTCTGATGAGTAATCACTGGACTCTGAATCACTCTCAACAACTCGACGTCTCTTTTTCACCTTTGACGATCTAGACAAATTCCTCGAAGATGAATCACTAAACCCACTAACCCCTCCCACAGTATCTGCAACTTTCTTTTTAATAACCAAACAGCCAGAAGAGCTTTTTTTCTTTACCCGAGTTCCAGACTGCTTAGATCTGCCGGCCTCTTTCATCTCATCAAGCATAAACCAACAACGAAACCCCCGATTCTATCAAAGCCCACATAACATGAATACACGCTCAGATCTAGGTGAAGAGGGTTAAAATAATACCCAAATCAACAACCTACAAATTCGAAAGTGAAAAAGCATCCACCGTCGGATTCCGATTAGGCAAAACCCAAATGGGTGCCGAAGGATCAAGAAGTTCGCGTGTTTTGGAGTTCAGCTACTGTTTTCGTTGGTTCAGTAAATCTTCCGGTATACCGTAAAGTGTAATCTTCATCAAGTTTAGTACATAAGAAGTTTGCCCAGCACAAAAGGGATTTTTAGATATATCACGTAGGAAGTCCATTTTCAGTTCACCGGAATTTTCCCACCAGTTTTACCTTGGGAAATCAGGTAAATTTCCGGACAAGACACGTAACTTCCTTGATCCAAGCGTGCAATATGAAAATGTGAACGGTTTAAAGTTTGTTTGCAAGTATAAAATGATCTAGGAGACAATCAGACAAGGGTAAGCATGGGAACCGAATACCCATTTTTCAGACGGACACTGTTTTGGAACCGTAATCGCCTTAAGTCCCGGTTCCAAATTTTGGAACCTATGGTCTTGGTTTCGGTTCTTAACTTTTTGGACCCTGGTACCCCACGATCGACATCTATGTTATTTTTAATACATCTCTATCTTGTTTGGTGCCTCTTCACAACATGAGGATGGTGAACATCATACCCCTCTTCTTTGCGGGGGCATGAAAGTTAATGGGGAAGAGCATGTAGTGTGTGTATCATTCAACCTTATAACAGGGGCGGCTCAATCAATTTGAGAGCTCTAAACAAACAAAAAAATTGGGGCCCATCGGTTTTATAACTTAAACCAATTTCCAAACTATTTCTTAATGCGTCTAAGCTAATCGCTTATATAAACATGAAATTTGCTGAAGTTTTGATCTCCCGACCGATGTGGGACTCAAAAGTAGAGTTAATATGAAGCAAGAGGATGGTCGAGCTTATATAAGAGACTGAGAGTTGACTGAGTTTCATCCATGAGCGATGTGGGATATGGTTAAGTAACTTCCAAAATAAAATGAATGAAAGGTAAGCAAACAAATTCGAACCTGAGACATTTGGTTTGATAAACCAGCGTTTTTACCACCATGCCAAACTCCAACTTGTCTTTGTAATCCAAGAAATACGTGTGTGTGTATATATATATATATATATATATATATATATATATATATATATATATATATAGAGGTAGGTTCAATTGAGAAAATAAAAAAGGTTGAGAATGGAGGAATCATTCCCAGCCACTCATTTAATCTAAGCATAAAAAGACACGGTGGCAAACTTGTAAATATGATAATAACCTTCAATCTCAAATACGCAACTGTAATCGATCGTTCATCATCCAAATTTCTCCTCCAACCTTCAACAATCATCCAGATTTCTTCAATTAAACCATCATCAACATCATCCAGTGCTAATCAATCATCGATCTTCGTCAATAACATGTTTATCAACACGATTCAACAGTTAACAACAAAAATTCATTTTTGGTTCTTTTAATCCAACCTTCAATTCTGCTTGAATACGATCAGATCTTCAACATCTACGATTAATTATACTCCCAGCGTCATTAGATCAACATCATCGATAATCAACAAAAAATTCACTTCATATCATTCATTCAACATCGATTATCAAATAAAACTTCAAAATTGAGGTTAGAAAAAGATCAAATCGTTTTTTTTTTGAAAAATTTCATATAATTCTCTATCAATCTACTATTTTGTAAGATTTAAATAGTCAAAGTATCATGTTTTTAACATTTTTAAAAAAGTTAAATTGTATGCACTCCAACTGTTTGATGAAATGCATAAACTAAATTACCACGTTATATTCATATATGAATATGTTTTCTCACCTAAATCAGTATATGATTATTAAAACAAAAAAACAAATATGCAAGTTTGTATGTTATTCATATGTGAATAACATATAAAAATTATATATATTTGTGAAAATACCTTGTAATATTCATAAGTGAATATATCATCTAATATTCACAAGTGAATATACTATGTAATATTCACATGTGATATACCATGTAATACTACGTAATATTCAGATATGAAAATATTATCTAATATTCATAAGTGAATATACCATCTAATATTCACAAGTGAATAAACTATGTAATATTCACAAGTGAATGCATCGTCTAATATTTAAATATGAATATATACTATGTTTATTATATGCTATATTCATATATGAATGATACTTAAATTGTAAAAAAAATTAATCATAGTTTTTATTCATAAGTGAATAACGAATGTACTGTAGTAAAAACCTGATTCATTTTTATTCACTTATGAATGACGATAGCTGAAAATATAAAAAAAAAAAAAAATTATTTTATCTTAAAACTATATCAATATGGATGTCTATTTGTAGAGAATAAAAAATCATGAAATTTTGTTATATTTAAAATCATTTTTCGATAAAAATAGCTTCTTAAAAATTAAAAAAAAACGAAAAAACTATGTTTTTGTATATATTAAGGTAATGCTTAGCATAGTTTAAGGAAACATGTTTTGTTGGAAAACACATGTCTATTCCTTTCCCATTTCCGCTGGTACGACGGAGGCTTTTGCGGCAAAAATAAATGAGTGGCTGAGAATGATTCCCCCATTCTCAACCTTTTTTTTCTCAATTGAACCATCATCTATATATATATATATATATATATATATATATATATAAAACAGAATAAGCTTTAAAATTTGGGGCCCTTTACAATTGGGGGCCCTAAGCCCTTGTTTAGTTTTACAAAGGGTAGAGTCGACCCTGCCTTATAATGTTCAATGTTTAGCAAAGACAGGACACTAGACCTTTTTATTTCACGAACAACAATGCACTAGACTCACTAAGCTTTTATGTTAGACTTACCGGACGATTGGATATTTATGTTTTGTGCCTTCCGTAATTGTTGTTTTATAAATTATAATGTAAATAATAATTTTAACCGGATGGGATGTAATTTGTAACGTCCCAAAAATACAACCCAAAAATTTCGTTTTTAAAACATTATTAAAACCATCATTTCATTACCAAAGTATAAAAATCATAAACTATGTGTTTCAAAATCTCATAATATCTATCACATGTCAAATCTCATGTCAAATATCATATCAAAATATCAGAGTAAAACTCCCAGGTTGAAGATTGTGGTGTGTGCCATGCGATCATCCCGAGCCCTTCCCTTTGCTAGTGGAAGAACCTAAAACCAAAACTGAAAACTGTAAGCACAAAGCTTAATGAGCTCCCCCAAACTACCACATACCATACAATAACACATAAAGCACATATTGGGCCTTGCCCACAGCATCAGACCGAAGTCCGAAATAACTTGGGCCTTGCTCACTGCATCGGACCGAAGTCCGGAATAACTTGGGCCTTGCCCACTGCATCGGACCGAAGTCCGGAATAACCTAGGCTTTGCCCACTGCATCGGACCGAAATCCGGAATAACTTGGGCCTTACCCACTGCATCGGACCGAAGTCCGGAATAACTTGGGCCTTGCGCACTACATCGGACCGAAGTCCGAAATAACTCGGGCCTTGCCCACTGCATCGGACCGAAGTCCGGAATAACTCGGGCCTTGCCCACTGCATCGGACCGAAGTCCGGAATAACTCGGGCCTTGTTTACTGCATCGGACCGAAGTCCGGAATAACTCGGGCCTTGCCCACTGCATCGGACCGAAGTCTGGAATAACTCGGGACTTGCCCACTGCATCGGATCGAAGTCCGGAATAACTGAACATAACATATACATAAACATGTAACATAAACATATAACTACTGCATCGGGCTTGCCCGGCATCGGACCGAAGTCCGGAACACAAAGCACATACATAAACATGCATGAATCACAAAGACATCAGGCATACATACTACTTCTCGGGATCACCCCGGCATCAGATCGAAATCCGGAACTACTATATCTAAACCGGTCGGCATTATGGCCGTAGACCCGTTCCTAAGGGAGGAAACTCACATCACACTACTGAAGTCCTGCTGACAAAACCCTAGCTGCTGGATGACAGATTTCCGAATCTGTCAACATCAAAATAACACCCAAACCATAAGTACATACTTTGGATAATTACTACATTACCCCAAACTTGGCTTATTCAAGCCCAAGGCCCAATCCGTAGGCCCAAAGTCAACTAGGAATCAAAGCCCAACATATGGCCCAATTTTCCAAATTGGGCCCAAGCATATACATGTTCTTATTCTAAGGCCCGACATCATATAATCATTAAGG